TGGAGGGTTTCTTTCCTTTCAGCTTCTTTTTGTCATTGATGGAGACAGGATCTCCTTCAGCAAGCCCAGTGCTCCTCAGCTTTCTCTTCTGAACAACCCCTCCCTCTTCCCCACCACCCCTCTCTTCCCTTAGGCTCATTAAAGTGAGATCGGAGAATTAACTTTTTACCCAGCTGCTGAACTTCTCATATTTATAAACACTTGAGGCTTTTGCTTATCTAAGAGAAAATGTGTATGGCTTGGAGAAGTGCGGTTCCCTGCCAATGTGTAATGACTGCAGTTCTGTGCTTCGCATCTAAAACAAGCTCAAAGTTTCCTGTCACAGGCTGAGTGTCGATGCCAAGGGCAAAGGTTTCTTGCCTTGCTAATCTACATCTTAACTCATGTGCTTAATGTGAAGGTGCCACACACACACAGGCAGCGGAGGAGTTAGCTGCAGTGAAAAGCTGTGCTGTGCTGTGAGTTACGCTCTAAAAGTCTTATAAATGTAATATTGGGGTTATGAAACAAGCCAAGGTAGCCAAAGTGAAGCCTGGAGGAGCTCTGTCGTTCACGCCATGTCGGGCTTTAGGAAAGGGTTTGTGCGAGGAGAGTGTGGTTGCTAACCAAGTGTTTGACACTCATTCATTTTAAACTAAACTAAATGGCTGGAAGTTTTCAGAGGAAGAATCGTGTTGGTGTGTTACAGAGCGTAAGTCAAACCCACGTACGCAGCTGGTCTCTTAGCTGTGTCACTGAATTGGTAGCGCTCTTGGCCTGAAGAACCTAGGGAAGTGCACCACGCTCGTCCCCAAGCTTCTCCAAGTACTGCTAAGGGTATGGAGCTGAGCAGGACCGCAGGGAGGGTCTGTGAACAGGAGAGCCCCCTCAGCTCACCCTGTCGTGCCTAGTTGTTATGAATCATTTGGCCTGTGAGAACCCTCCAGCGTCCTTACGACCAGCTGAGAGTGGACTGCACCAGCTCAGCACAGACGGATGAGTGCCAGTCTGAGTTTCAGCTTCTTGGAGCTCTCTGGCCTTCTCAGAATTTCAGTTGAGCCTTCCACTGAAGTGTTTGTTGTTCGTTTGTTTTTAGTTTAAACTCATCCTATCAGGTTATTCTTGGATGAGTTTAAAAATGTGGGCACACAGTGCAGTGTGTACCATTCCCCACCCTTCCCACTGGGATTCCCATGGGGTGTGAGTGCCCATACAAACAAACACAGTGGCATGGGTTTAGCAGAAGACTGCCAGCGAGGATTCCTGGCTTTTAACCCCAGCTCTTTCATTGTCTCCTCAGCTTAAGCTCTGTGCCTCACTGTGCCCTCCTGTAAAATGGGAATATATCACAAAAGCGTTGAGAGGGTCAGCATTTTTGACGTGCAGTGGAATTAAAAAATGAAAGGCTCTGCAAGTTAACCTAGTATTTATTAGACGTTTGTTTCATGGCATCAGCAGAGCGCTGCAGGAAATGTAACAGGGTTGTGATTTGAAGGAAGATGTAGGACGTGTCTGTTCCTATCCATTAGCGCACTTGTCTAACCTAAGCACAAACTCTGTTCTGTTTTGTTTCTTCCAGTTCTTCGGGACTCTTCTGTCACCCTTCAGCTTCCTTAGGGAGAAGATTGAGCGCTTCGTGCCGTCCGGTCTCTGGCACCAGCTGACCCACGTTTGACGGGAACCTGTTCTGCACAGTAATTAGTCCCGACTGTTCTCAGGAACCTCCGACCCACCTCCCCCAGGGCAGTGGAGTAGTTAGCTGGCAGCCGAGGGAGTGTGGGGAAGATGAGCTGCATTATTTAAACTGTCATCTTTCACCAGCTTCCACCTTGTTAATGGTGCTTGAAGTGACTGAATTCCTCCTCTGGCAGTAGGATCTGTAGTCATTTAAGCAAGCTGCGTTTTGTTGAGCAGTGACTCTCTTTGCTCCCTGAACCAGTTATGCAAGTTGAGGCTACTACTTTCTCTGTAAAACTACAGAACACAATAAATCAGGTGGATGTTTTATGGGTATCAATGTTTTTTTTCTGACCCGTAAATACGGCAAAGCTTTTATTAGCCAATTTCCAGGTTTAAGAGCCCAGACCAAAGTAGTTCTGAATAGGCTGAGTACAGATCTGCTCTGTTTCTATTAGACAGCCGCTTTTCTGTCGCACCTACATTTGTTGGCCTCTTAAGTGGTTAAGACAGGTCATGCTGTGCAATTAGCAGTCTGCTTATGCTCTCTCCCATATTCTCACACTGCACAAGCCTCTCTATTTAGTGTCCTCAATTCAATTTTAAACTGCCTTTCTGTCTGTCTCTCTGTCTGTATTTGTATGCTTCAGCGCGAAGAGATTGCAGCATCGCCTCTTACATTGCCAGCAAAGCGCTTGAGAGACCTGCGTGTGAATCCATGTGGGAGAGATGGACTCTGGGATGGCGATCAAAAAAACCCCAGTACCTGCATCCACTGATGTTGAGGCAAAAGTACTTGCAACTCTGGTGTGCTCTTGACAGGGCTAGTACACTCGAACAGAGGCTTGCTCCCAGGGCCCCTGTGAATTAGGGTGCAGCTAGGACGATGAGCTCACAAGGCCACGAGAGGGATATTTTTCACTTCCCATTGGGATTTATCTTCAAATCCCATCCTTGGGCAGGAACATGGAGAAGGCTGAGCCAGCTCCTTCCTGCGCTTGCCACTCCAGGACTCCGACGCAGCCGATCCGGGTGGCATCCTTCAATTAAGTGCATCTTATGAGAGGAAAATGCTGACTTAGAGAGAGGCCGCGGCACAGGAGTCATAGCCCCCACAGCAGGCTTGCAAAGATGAGGCCTTTGCTCTAGCTTAAATGCTTGGATCTGCTGAGGAGGAGTTGAGGGGAGAGATCTGCAGAAGATACTGATTGAGTGTTGGAGTCTTCTCACCACTGGTAGGTAATTTTCTCAGCTTTCCCCTTCCAGTTGAACGTGAGCTGCTGGGGCTGCGTCTCGCTGTGGAATCGTTGTGGTGATTAATAGCCATGTTGTGCTCACGTAATTTCACTTCGTGGCCCGCAGGGGCCCGTAAGCTAACCAACCTAATGCTTTTTACAGTTGAACCTTTTCCAGCATTTGTGTGGGGTTATAAATGAAGCGCTGCCTCCCATGCATCATCCCAAGAGCTGCTTTCTCTCACTGTCCTCCCCTGACATAGCAGTAACAGCAAGGGGATGGGTTTGCGCTGGAAGCAATGCTGGCAGTGTCCAAGGCAGCAAACACCCCCCAGCAGTGTTGGCGGTTCTTGGTGGGGTACACATCTCTTACAGGGAGCCCTTGTGCTCTGCAGTCGTTCACCTCCGTCATGGGCGAGTGGCCTCCTGGCACCTGATCCAGGAGGTAGCGATGCTGCTGCGATGCCAACAGTGGCGTAGGTGGTATCAGCAGTGACTTGGGGGAAATAATCTGCATTCTGTCCAAGGGACTTGAGCAAAGTGGTTGTCACATCAGTGCCCCATAAAAACCTAGGTCATTTCTGGAATTTTAATTCACTTTAAAGCCACCAGCATGCATTGGATCAAAATGACAGCATGGGTGTGATCAAAATAGAGTATTGTGGTGCTGCTGTTGATTGTAAAGCACTTTAAATACTGCGGGGATGGAGCTTTGTCAGTACCATGGTAGAGACCATGTAGGCAGAACATGATCTTTTTAAACCACTTGGTAATGTTGGCTGGGATTCTCAAAAGAAACCAGGGGAGTTAAGTTAGTTGGTTTTCAGGTGCCTAATTCTTCTAGACCCCACTCAGTCGTAGTCATCAAGCAGAGTATCTCCGTGCGCTTCTTCATGTTCTTAAACCGAGGCCTGCAGGCAAGGTCGTAGTTCAGAGAAATGAAATGGGTTCTGTCTGCAGTTCAGGCCCCTTGCACGGGTAGGAGCATGTCCTGCTTCTGCAGCATCCATCCACCCCTGCAATTAAACACATTGCATGGTCTCACGTGCTGCCGCCGATGGTAAAAGTACCTTTTCACAGGTTGACCCTGCAGGTTGAGGGTGATTCTGGGCAAGCTTCTCCGCTTTGTTGGGGCTAGAAAACTGTGCCAGACTCCCAGAGGAACTGGCCTTTCCTGGAGCTGGGATTCCCTGATCGCCGGGTATTGACAGTGCTACGGTGCCTTGGGGCTGAGAACAAATGCATGTCGCTGGCTTCCTTGCTTCCCCACCTCATCAGAAGGGGACACAGAAGTGGAAGAAGAGGTGGGGCAGGGAAGGGCATCCTGTGGCCATGAGTGCTGCCTGGTAGGGGAAGATCTGGGGCAGCTTTGCTGCTGCCCGGTCCCCCGTGCAGAGCTGGACAGGGCTGTTGATTCCCTGCCCCCTTGCTCTGGAATTGCTTTGAGGGTGCCAAGGCTGGCAGAGCCGTGATGCGCAGCAAAGCAGGGTTCAGGGGTCGCAGGCGAGGCCATTAATAACCAGGTGCAAACGGCGGGTTGAGATGGAATGGGGAGCTCTGTGCTCATTTCATTTCTGCACGTTGGGGGCTCTGTTTGCTTACGGAGCGCTCGGTGTCTGGTACCTGCGCCGGCCGGGAGCAGGCAGCCGGGCTCCTGCGGAGGAGTGCAGCACATTGTTCTCCGGTGTTGTAATTGGGCAGTGGTAGTGTGGGCTTATTCATCTCCCCTTCTTGCGGTCATGCTTGTCTGGGTCCTTTTTCTTTCCCAGAAGCCACAGGTGCATCCCCAGAGTCACTGGCCAGACGGGCGTTGGGGAGGTCTTTCTGTCACCTGCCTCTGGGCCAGTGGGCTGGAGAGTCGATAAGCAAGCAAGCTCCTCGAAAGAGGTGGATGTGTCCGCCAGGGTGCTGCAACCACCAATGTCCAGCGCCAGTTGTTTTTGGCTGAGCGGTGCCCCTTGGATTGCAGCATGTGGGAGATGCACTGGTCATTAGCAGGATTTCGGGGTGGACATGGCTGCAGGGGCAGGGGGCAGTTTCTACATTGCTCCCCCAGGCACAGTTGGCAAGGTGCCCGGCATGCCCAAGAAGAAAGGTGGCAGGGGAGGAGGGGGAGAGACCCTGAGTAGGGCTGCACCATGGCCCTGGAGCAGAACCCACCTTCTGGAGCTGCTTCCCTTCCAAAGGAGCAGGCTGCTTGCTCTGCCCTTGCAGTCGGGGTCTGGTCAGTGGCCCCCTGCCCCGGCAGATTGCTATTGTCTGTGCTGCCTGTTGGGTGGGGGTGAACCCTCTTGCTTGGAGATCCCCTTCCATGGCCCTGGCAGCAGCAGTGGACTTGAAGGCTGTGACCAGGGTGAGGAAAATCTTGCCAAGCAGGCCCCGACAGGTCAGGTGAAGGTTAGCCTGAAGTCCTAGGGATTCAGTCCTGTGGTTTTTCCCAGATGCAGTGGGAGTGATGCACTTGTGTTGCCCCCACCAAGGTGAGAGCTAGCGGCTGCTGGCACATGGCTGTTAGCAGAGCTCCTTGTGCAGGGACAGCAGTGAGGGTGGAAGCTGGAGCATGGGCCATTTGCTGCTAGATGTGCAAGCTGCTGATGGGCTGCAGTAAGAAAGGTGTTCCGTGGAGCTGGAAAAGCCCTGGATGTCCATGAGGAGTACCAGAAGTCATCCATGCCTTGTACCCAGCAAGACATTACCCTTGTGCATGCTGTCAGGGCTGGGCTGGCTCTCGCTTCTCATGGCTGACGAGAGGAGCATCCCGTTGGGAGCCAGTGCTGGTTGCATTGTCCCACGCTTTCTCCAACAGCAGCACCTGCCCGTCTCAGCTCCGTGGCCCCTCATCAGCCCACCCTGCACCTCATCCTCCGGTCCAGACGTGCCTCGATTTCGAAGGCGATGAGAAGATGATCTTCCACCGAGGGCTTCCCGTGCACTTAGCCCCGCTCGCTTACAAGGGGCTCATGAGTGGGATAGAGTATCCCCTGACAGGGCTTCGGCCTCGGCAAGCTCTTGTAGATGGAAAACAGCTGCTTCCGCGGGTGAGGAGGGGGAGTTTCAGGAAGTCCCATTTATAATTGAGCGCAGGGAGGTCTGAATTTCATTAGACCTGCAAAGGAAGGTGGCTGTAGCGCGTGCCAGCCACTAGCATGGGGGTACTGGCCCATGGCCAGTAATGGTCAGGTAGGAAACTAGAGATCCCTGTGGGGCTCTTTTCATGCCTGTGCCTCAGTTTCCCCTGTGGCAAAGGGGGCAATACTGGCCTTTCTTCTGCCTTGTCTATTCAGGGTGGCAAACTCCTTAGAGGATGGACTGTCCCAGCTGTGGGTGCATGGTGTCCGGAGGGGTGAGGCCCTGATTGCAGCTGAAGCCTCCTGCTCTTCTGTAGCACCAGCAGCTGCTCCAAGAGCTCTTGCTTCATTGCAGTGCAGGCTGCAGGCCTTGGCATGCAACCTGCATGGCCCTGGGCTGCTAGGGAGAGCTGCCCTGTGGCTAGGGTTATCCCACATGGCAGCACCTTTGCCTTTGCAGTCAGTGCACAGTGAGGAGGGGGGCTGGGGGTAGCCTTCGGGCTCCAGTGCTTCGCAGCCTCGAACACCCACGTTCAGGGAGCAGAGCTCTCTCCAGGCTTTCAGGGCCGTGATTAAGGTGCTGCACATGCCCCATCATTCATCAGGTGGCCTGCAGACCACTAAGTGCTGGTGTTCCTGCCAGAGGAGAGCTCCTGGGAGCCTTGTGGGGGGGGAATAGCTGTTTATTGTGGGCAGCCCCCAGCTCAGGGCATGGGGCCTTTCCAGCCTGCTCTGTGCACATCCCCCGGGGGAGTCTCGGGCTCCGTGCAAGGGGTTTTGTTTTTTTCTTTCAGTTTAAGTCCTAAATTGCTGGCAGGTGGGGCAGTAATGAAGATGAATGAGGGGAGCTCTTCCTGCCAGATTAGATCTGTGCTGATGAAGGCGTCTGCTGCGGCCGCGCTGCCCGGGGTCTCATCCCAGCCCTCTCCTCCCCTCCGCTTGCAGGAGCTCCACCGGCACCTCACCGAGGGGGATGGATCTCTCCACGCTGCACTGAGTCCGAGGTGAGGGCCTGCACCCCCCCCAGAGATGGGCATGGCTGTGACCCCCAAGATGTGGGGCTGGGGGCTGCTGCTGGGTTCTTCTAATGCAGCCTGTGGGCCAGACTGTCCTGAGCAGCCCTGAAGAAATCCTCTGGCTTTAACCCTGCCTGCTGGGATCTGCTCAGATCCTGATGCCCAGAGCCAAGGACTCATCTCACAACCATCTTAGAAACAGCAGCAAGGCACATGCATCCCATTGCAAGTGAAGAAGGGCACTGCCCTAGTGTCTGTGTTGCCATATCTTTGCTTTACATGAGCTGGGTCTGCCCCTTTCCAGACCGCAGCTGCAAGCCCGCCCAACCCTTCTACAGGCAAAGCAGCTGATCTCAAGCAAAGCTTTCTGCAGATGCAGCCGTTGAGTGTTGCTGTCTGCTACTGTTGGGCCGTGCGTCTGGGACAGGATCCTTCCTAGCACAGGACCAGGAACTGTCAGGCTTGTTCCGGCCACATCCGCTACAAGCCTTCTTGCAGGCTCCTCGTGAAACTTGCCAGCAAGTGCCACGTGTCTGAGGGTTGGTGGCTTTCTTAGGCTATTGCCTTGAGAGCCCCTCTATTTTGTTAAGCCAAAGTGGGTGTTGTCCTTATCCCGCTGCCCTCTTGGGCTGAGGGAGTGTCCCACTGGCCTCACGTGCTGCGTAGCCTTGGGGAGAGTGTTCGGGACAGCACCAAGCTCCGTGGTCCAGCCTGCTGGCAGGGATCACAGCTCCCTCTGTGTCTGACTGGGGCATGCCGCATGGATGCAGGCTCTTTGCTCTGTCTGGATGGCTGATGCTTCCATGAAAAAGAAGGGAGAGGTAGGGTGGGGGCAGGCTGACAGCACTGCTCCAGCCAGAGACCGACTCGAGGCCTATGCTAGGATTGTTTGGGGGCACTGAGGGATGTGGCAGGGATGGGGACAGACTCTCTCATCTCCACCCGTTACTTTCCCCTTTCATTCTGGCCAGTGGTTTGCAATCTTTAGGGGAGCAGCAAGAGCCTGGACACAGCTCACCCAGCCCATCCTGCTCCATCCTTGTCTGCCTTTCCTGAAGGAGCCTGCAGCAGGGGGTCGGAGTGCCTGCCATGGGGCAGGTCCCAATCTTGGGGACAGGAGAGCACCCACCATCACAGAGGTACGTGGCGGGAATCTCATGGGGGAGCTCCCTGCCAGCACAGCATGGCGGATTAGCTCTCATTGAGGCCTGTGCCGGGGTGCCATGGCCCTGCTGGATGGGCAGTAATGTGCAAGGCAAAGAGCATCAATTTCGGATACAGGTTTATAATGGATTTTGTCTTAAAAAGAATGAAGCGGTATATACCACGTGCAAGGAGCCTGACGTTGGCTGACTGCTCTCTCGCATTCTCTGTGCATGTCCCTGCGTGTATGCCCTTCTCCCGTGGCAGTCATTCAGGTCTCAGTCACCTGTCGCCTGCCCCTTTCTCAGTTGGGGGAAGGAGGAGTTGCTCTTGTCCAGCTGTGTTGATCATTCAGCTGTGTCACTGTGCTAGATCTGGCTGAGAAAAGCACCGGAGATCAAGGAGCTGCCTTAGGCTTTTGCAATCTCCTGCCTTGGGCCGTGCAAAAAGTTCAGGACAAGAGCGCTCTGCAAGGACTAGCTGTTTTGCCCTGGAGTCCCTTGCCAGGCACTCTCCATGTACACACACATTGAGGGGGCCACTGGGGCTCTGCTTTCCAGTCTCGTGGCCATTGCACTGTCCTGCTGCAAGAGAACAAGGGGCGAGGGAAGCTTCACAGTGTAAGCAATGGTCGCAAGCCCCTTCTAGGGAAGGGGTGAGTTGGCTGAGCAAGTTGGCAGGGTCCCTGGACCTCCTGGGAAGTGTAGTTCTCTCTCTAGTGCTTTGCCGGATGAATTAAGAAAAGCCATGCAGCTGCACTACAGCTCCCAGAATGCCCTGGCATGGGGGCCTGGGGCCCGGGGCGGGCACGAGGCCTCAGCTTTGTCCCTCTGCCACTGCATGAGCGGTCAGGTCTGGTCCAGCCACTCAGCCCGCTTGGGCGCTTTGCACGTGTGCACGTCCACGGTGTCCTCGCACTCCTTGCAGCGCACAGCACAGCACCAGTGGAACTTGCACTCGCACTTGGTGATGCGTGTGACACGGGTTGTGTCGTAGCCCCGGCCGCAGCACATGACCTCGCAGCTGTCGGTCCCGCGGGACATCTTGTTGCACACGCGCCCGGCTGTCCCCAAGGAGCCTGCGGGAGGGAAGCCATGGCTCGTTACCCAGCTCTGGGAGCAAGACAGCCCTCACGCCCTCCTCCCCAATGCTGCTGTCTTCTGGCAAAAGATACCTCTGCCCTTCTGCCAGCCCAGGGGGCTTGGGTCAGACCCGCATCCAGCGGCACTGTCAGGTTTGGTGAAGGCAAGCTCACACTCTTTGCTGCTTGGTTGGAGAGCACTGCGTCCCAGGGTGACCTCCAAGCTGTCTTCCCCAGCATGTCTGCCTGCTGTTGGCAGCTCCTTCCCTGGGAGGACTGGGAGTCCTCTCCATGTGCAGCCTGGCTGCAGGGCCCAGAGAGAGAGCTTGGAAGAAGCCCTCTAAAATGGCCAACTCTCTGGTACCAAAGGTCCCCCTCAGCTTTGCTGACCCTTCCCCAGCCCCAGGCCAGGTGCTAATCTATTCTGCAGACCAGACGCAGACCATCTGACCCCATCCTGCCAGGTCTCCCTTGTCTGATGGCTTTGCATTCCCCAGGTAATGAAGCCTTGTTTTGATCTGGGGAGAGCCTGTCTGAGCTGGACAGGACACGCAGCCAGCCCTCCCTCGGGGCAGGTATGAGCGAAAGCTCTCCCAGGCAGCGGGCATGCAATTCCCTTTTCCTTGTGGCCTGACTATCCTGTGCTGCAGCTGGAGAGGGAATGCAGGGGAGGGCCAGAAATTTGGTGTAAGGTTTTATGGACTGCAAGCTCGGGACGCAGGGCACAGGCAGCCTGGTGGGAAGGCAGCTGGCTCGAGTCCTGAGGCAGAGGCTCTGATGAATGAATCCCTGTCTGGAAGTGGGGCTGTCTCACCAAAACTGTACTCCTCTCTTGCAGCTACTGGCCTCTGCAAAGCCCCCAGTGATCAACCGGTGAGGCTACTTTACCTGCAAGACTGGAAGTCCAGGCTAGTCTGTTTGGCAAAGGAGAGCTTTGCTTGCAATAGTAGGAAAATTTCTGAAGGCTGGGGGATAAGCTTTGAGAGGCCTGTGACATGCAGAGGCTTGCTTATCACTCAGAAGGAGTTGGACACATTCAATGAACAAAGCACCAGCCAGACAGGAGCCTCCTTCAAGACTGGGATATCAATTCCCCTGAGCTAAGGTCCCATGGGATGAGCTGGTGTTCCCAGTGGTTGCTGTGCACTTCCGGGGGCATGACTGGCAAAGCCTTAGAGCGATGGGTTTTACTGGGCTGCCTCGCTAGTGCTGATCGGGGATGGGGACAGGGAAATCTGGTGTTGCTGCTGCTTAGCAATGATTTGAAAAGCAAATCGGACTCGCTGCTCATTCCCCTCCCTTGCTTCTGCCTCCCCAGTTTTGAAAACGGCTTTGCTGGCAGAAATGGAAACTTCCACCCAGAAACGCTGTCAGTGCCACACCGCTCACCCTGGAGTTGCATGGTGCCAAGATGATAAATGCTGGCAATATCTTGTGGGCCTGGCCCAGCCATTAGCCCAGCACGGCAGGCCGTCCCTGCCCCGACGTGACCCCCGCTACACCCCGCCAGCAGCCAGCGCTGACTTTTACCTGCTGCCTTGTCCATCAGGCAGTAGTCAGGGGAGTTCTCGAAGTACACCAGGTCCGTTTTGGTGGGCTTCCGAAAGTACTTGTTGGCTACGGTGAAGCCGGTGCCGTCCTGGTTCATGGTGACCTGGATGGCGCCATTGTACTTCCTCCGGAGGTAATCCCCGGTCTTGCGGAAATCCGACATGGCCAGCCAGCAAGTCCGGAGGGTGCAGGAGCCGCTGACCCCGTGGCACTTGCACTCCAGCTTCAAGAAGCGCTTCACGGCCTGCCGGAGTGGGGGATGTATGAGGACCCAGCCAGGTATCGTGCTCGCGGCTGCCTGCCTGGGCTGGCCAGAGCCCTGAGGCGGCTTGTTTCTCACCTGCTAAAAGGCCAGGGGTTGGCAAGCCCTGCTGTTTGAGGCCACTGAAGAGAGGATGTGTGGGAGAGTATCCTGATGGGAAGGCACAAGGTGCCATGCAGGCACTTTGGGTGCCGGCTGAGCTGTGGCTGGGCATGGGGGCAGTGAGGCGGGCAGGAGGGAAGGCATCTGCCTCCACCACCCTGCCGTGCACAAAGCAGGGCTGGGCTTGGACAGGAGGCACCGAGAAGACATGGGCCTTACTCTGGATCAGATGGGCCATAGCTTGCCCCAGGGCTGCTGCAGAAACAGGGGCCAGGCTGTCCCTCCTCACCAGGCTCTAGCTCTGGGCAGTGCCCAGCACTCACCATCCTTCCGCAGCGGTTGTTGTGCAGGTTCATCAGGGCCCGGGCATCCTTCACCTTCTTCTCCTTGGCATCCACAAAGGCCTTGGCGAACTTGATGCCGTAGTGGATGTTGTCACTGCAGCCGCCCCAGTCGAACTCGCCCCGCTCGTCCCGGGAGCGCCCGCGCTTGCGGGGGTCGCAGCTGCAGCCTTTCAGCTCTCCCTGGCTGCAGGCTCGCGTGATGGCATACACTACCCCAGCTGAGGAGATGGCATAGACGAAGGCGGCCTCCCTGCTGCCTGCCAGAGGGGAAAGGAGCAAGGAGTGAGAGGCCTGCCAGGTCTGGACATGCTCCTGCGTGTGGTCCGTGCCCTCCCCACCCTGCCTGACCCTTCTGTGAGCACCAAGGCAGTGATTGCACCGGCCGAGGGAAGGCAGGTGCCCTGCACTGTGCAGCAGCCTGGCCAGCTGGGATTCAGCACTGACATCCGGCAGGTCTGCAGGGCTCCTTTGCTGGACAGTTCCCAGGTGACCCCAACACTGCAGCTCACATAGGCATCTGCAAAGGAGGAGGATGCAGCCCGGAAAGGTACAAGCTGGTGCCGGGAACCCCAGGGCAGCTCTTCCCAGCAGCCGGGCAATGTGGGGGGGACGGGGGCAAGGAGTCCTGGGTTTCTATCTTGTTCTGGGCTGGGCAGTTAAAGCCCAGCCTGTAGGGTCTGAACATGAGCCCCACAGCATTTTGCTGGGCTCTTAAGCCCAAGCTCCTGGAGTCGGGGGATTGCATGCAAAGTGCAGGCTTAGCTTTTTATTTTTAAAAGTAAGCGTTTGCCCTTCTGACTTCAGGGGCAGCCTAGATGTGCCCAGTGGCTCAAAACTGGGTGGGGATGAGACCTCATAGTTATAATCTGATTTTCTGTTTATATATAAAAAAAAAAAAAAAAAAATAGAAGTCTCCTGCGTGTCACAGGGCTAGAGTCCTCTCCCCATGTCCAGGCTGGTTTCCTCCCTCCCTGATGCAGCAGATCAGGGGAGCAGGCTGCCTCATCCAGACTAGCACCTCCTTGACCGGGCGGTCTGACTGGCAGCCCTCCTGTCTGCCTGTGCACCATCCAGCATTGCTGGTAGAGCCCCCTGGTCCATGGGTGCAACCCCTGCCCGTCTCAGAGGTCAGACCTTTCTAGGGTCAGCCCACAGCATGCTGCTGCCCAGGGCCCTGCCAAGCCTACCCCATCCCTTGCAAACCTCACCCCGTGGGCATGGGACCTTCTCCAGGACAGAGCCTGCAGCCACCGCTGTCTTGGCCTTTCACTCCTCTCTGCCCCAGCTTCTACACACTGCAGAGAGATGTCCAGTCCCACGTGCCTGGCCAGCCCTGCTCTCCAAATATTTACATATCCCATTACTGTTTACATGCAAGCTGGTTCTCCAGAGGTGTCTCCTTCCCTGGCTCCTCCCGCCAGGGCAGTGATGCGCTCCCATTACTGCCTGACAAACTGACAGGGAAAGGCCGAGCTCTGGAGGGGATAATGGGAGCGCCTGCTCGGCCCCAGAGCAGCGGTTGTGCCTCAAGGGACTGGACCAGGGGAGCAAAGGGTGTTTTGCTTCTGGGTACAGCAAAATGTGTGTGTGTGTGTGTGTGTGGGGGCGGGGGTCCTGGCCTTTCCTTAAAAGCAGGAGCTGGGGTCGGTGGGTGCAGGGAGCAGCCTGGGAAAACTGGCCTGATGCCCTGTTGCATGACTGCTGGGCAACCCTGGGCACAGGACATTGTGGTTTTAGGTGCTGGATTCCTAGGCACCTGTTTGCCCCGTGCAGGATGGCACCTGGCATTACCTCGATGGGCTACAGGAGCTGTCTGGCAGGCAGGTCACCCTCAGCCTCAGTGCCAAATCATCCCCTCCTGGAGGCAGGGTATGATTTCCCCCCTGGGCAAGTGGGTGGGAAGAGAAACCCTGCGGGGACCTACTTCTTAACATGACTCTGCCGAAGACAGTGTGGTCCCTGTCCAGCGTGCTGCAGTTCCAGCGGTGGTGCCGAAACTGGTGCTGGCACTCTCGGATCCACTCCTTGGCGCCCTCACCCACCGACTGCATGATGTCGGGGTACTTTTGGCAAAACTGCCGCTGCTTGTTCACCAGTCCAGGGATGTTGTCGCAGATCACCCTGGCGCCCAGGGCCCCGATGTACCTGCGGAAGGAGAGTACGCCCTGTGAGCAATGCCCCTAAGGGAGCATTTTGCAGGCTGTAGGGCTGGGGCACTGCAAGGCTGTGCTAGGATGGGGTCTTGGCTGGGTATCTAAGCACACAACCCTGGGGTGCACCAGGTCCCTGCATTTCCACAGGGCAGGCTTCCTCCCAGAACAGCTACAGTGAGCTGTAGCCAGGGCTGAGGAGCAATAAGAGTTGACATTTGTGCCCCTGGAGCTGGGTGAATTTTCAGGATGAGGTACCATGGTACTGACTATGGGAACTGGCAGCTGTGCCATGCTGCACAGCCCTGTCTGATGGCAGCTGGTGCAGTTCAGACAACTAGCTCAGAAGAGCAGGTCACGGAGCCAGAGCTGCCTGGCCAGGATTTCCCGAGGAGGGCTGGTAGTTGTTCTGTCCGAAGCCCCGTCCTGCATTGGGGCCCCTTTGAGTGCCAGGTGCTTCGCAGACAGGCAACAGCAAGGACATCTCAACCCCAGAGAGCTCCTGGGCTAGGGCAGGATGTAGCAGGTGGACAGGACAGGATGGGCTTAGGAGGGTGAGAGATAGATACCCCCTCCAGGTCGTGCGGAAGTCAGACAAAGCCTGGGGCTTCTGCCCTGTGCTGCGTGGCAAAGCAAGACTCCTATCTGTGACTTTTTCTTGTTTTTTGCAGCCTCTGGAAGCAGATTTCAGAGTCCAGCAGGGCCTGCTCAGGAACAGCCATGGCTGTAGCAGTGGGGGACCAGCCAGCGTGAGCATCTCATGGCAGGGAGTGCTCCTGCTAGCAGCTAGAGGTCAGTGGCTGCAGGAGGGATGGATCCCTTCCCAAACGCTGGGGCTTCACTGCTGCAGTTCAGGGCGCCCACATCCATGCCCAGCCTCCCCATGTACCCCTGCAGGGCAGTTCCCCAGGTATTCCATCGTCTCCCGGTCCTGCTGCTCCTCAGCTGGTGGATGGGGTGGGCGGTGAGGGGAAGCAGCGCCAGCAATTCTCCGGTGCAGCCAGTATGATTTGAGCAAGCAACTCAGCCCAGAAACCCAGGGTATGTGGCTGGGAGGCTGAATTCTCCCTGCAGACCACAGCCAGTTCCTTTGTGGACTTGAAGCCAAAGCAGACCATGGAGTGGAGCACGGAAGATGCCACCTCCATCCAGAAGCCATGCTGATATCCCTTGTTCCCCTCTGCCAGAGAGCGGCTGATCCCTTGTGCTGGGGAACTGGCCTGGCTGTAGACCCCGACCCTGCATTTCTGGCCAGACAAATAAGGGAGGCTTTGGGCAGGACTGAAACATTTGCAACCCCTAGACTGGAATTAAGACCCTCCCTTGAACAGGAATAAGAAAGCCCAAAGCTGGGGTGATGTTCCCTTGTGTCCCTGGCCGTGCTCTCATTCCTATCGGCCCGGAGCTAGCTCACAGCTTGAAGGATGGCTTCAAGATCACAGAAAGCAATGGAGCTCTTTTCTTTCCCTTTTTAAAAAATATTTTGTTTAAGCACTGGCAGCCGCGCAAGGTCATCTCGGGCCGGAGCGGTGGATAATAGACCTGGCTCCCTGCGGCTCTGCCAACGCCAACGTGCATTATGTTTTACAAGCTTGCTCGTCAACCTTTCATCAGGCGGCTGCGGCGCCAGGGAGATGGGGAAGCCATTAAAAAAGCTCATCCAGGGGAAGAGGGGTGACGCCAGGTGCACAATGCCTTCCTGCCTGCACAAAGAGGACAATTTGGTCCAACCCCAGGGTGCAGAAGGTTCTTCCCAGGAGCAGGATGGGGTATAGCAGGGATGGAGCATTGCCGCTTTCTGCCTTCCCACATTTGCTCGGCAATTAGGCGGGTCTTAAAGCTGGCCAGCACTTGTGGGGCTTGGCTGGGGAGATGCTGCCTGTAGGCTGAGGACGGCTGTGCCCTGAGGCCACATGGGACAGACGGGTGCTGCCTTCTCGAGGAATTGGGTGCTCAGGCCTGGTGGTATACAGAGGGCAGCACTGCTGTCCAAATCCCCAAGCTGCTCCCAGATCCCTCCATGCACAGTGCCTGCCACGGGTGGGACAGGACATCACAGCATCTGTTCCCAGCTCACCATGGCCCCAGGACTTTGCACCCCCGCTCTCTTCCTGCTTGCACCCAGCTAAGGGGCAGGGAGCCTTGGTGCATTTGGCGTGGACGAGGGGAGCTCTGCCGCTCGCAGCTCGCTGGAGAGTGGTGATTCTCTGGGCTGACTGAGGTGCTTTGCTAGGGGAAAGCATGCAGATAATGGCAATGACTAACCTAGCCCCAGGAGGCTTTGATCTCAGAGAATCCTCCCAGCCAGATAAACGCCAGTCACTCCCCTTTTCACACCACCAGCTAATTATTTCTGCTCTCGTTAGCTCCACTGCTGAATACCTGGCTGGCAGCCAGCTTTTTCAAAGGGGAGCACAGGAGGGTCACCGGTTCCTCTCCCTTTTTTTTCACCGTGCACCTTGCCAACATATCTGCCTCCCTTCCCCGCTGTGCCTGGGTCTGCTGATTGCAGCCGCAGTCCAGGCAAGGAATGCAATGGTTGGATCTCTTTTGGCGCTAACGAGCCAGGTTCCCTGCTGCCCTCCATTTCTGGTCTCCTTTTCTTCCTAACTGCCTCACTTGCTTGGGTGTAAGTGACTCCAGGGCTATTCTGGTGTTGGAGGGGCATTGTCACTCTGCTGGTCCCCTTAGAGAGAGGATAGGGGGAGGGCTGCCAGTGAGACCTGAGCGGAAACGACCTGCTGTTTTGTGGGGAATTCCAGAACTTGGGGCGAGTTGCTCTGCTCTGACCGGGAGCTAAAATTAACCAAAAAGTCCAACATTTCCTGCCCAAAAGAATTCAGGGGGGAAACTCCCCCAAAACTATTCTTTGGTCTTGGACCAGACTATGTCATTCCACCATTATGTTTTTTATTTCACAGGGAGTTTTTGGAAAATCCAAGCAGCCCGTTCCAAAAGGTCAAAGCAGGATGTCTGGGCCTTTTCAGAAGGCTCTTCTTTTTTTTTTTCATGTCTTTTTAAACGTGCAATGCTGCTGACACGGGCCGGTTCCCACGGGAGGCTTCATGTTTAATGCACTTGAGCTGCCCACTGGAGTGCGGTCAGATGGCCTTGGGAACTCTGCTCGTGGTCAGCCCCAAACAGAGGGCAGGAGGGGAGTTGCAGTGCATGTAGACGGCCAGGTGAGCTGCTGTGTGATGTGCCTGGAGGTGGCAAGAGGGTGCGGCTGGGAGCTGAGGAGCCTCCAGCAGAGGGGCGTGGGTGGCACAAGACGGATGTGCAGTCATGTGTGTGTGTCACATCCTCAGGGGAGGCTGGTCTGCACAGGCAGTGACCGCATCCAGCTGCCGCCAGCCAAGGAGCCGCTGGCTCCACTCAAGGGGCAGGGCTCCGTGCTGTGCTGCGGGCGTGAGTCACGACCCTCTGCATGTTCCTAGAACTGGGCTGCACGGCTGCCAGGGACACGCGCTGCGGAGGCACGTCCCTCCACATGCAGTTGGTCGCATTTCCTTGGAGCGACCTACTTGACAGTCTGAGCACTGGCCAGCCCAGAGCCAGCAGGCGTGCACGGGCTCCTGTGTGCAGAGGCAGGGCCCCGCATGTCCAGGTGGTGACATGGGCCTGACCCCACGCTGCTGCTCCTTTTGCCCAGGGGTGAATCCGTCGCATAAGCGAATCCAGCCGTGTTGCTGGCGTGGGTTTGCTCTCGGCCGCCCCGTTCCGAGGGGAACAGGAGAGAGCTGTCACATGTTGGCTCCCAGTTGTTTTTCCCGTTCTCAGAATCTGCTGACTTTCATTCCCATAAACAAGGAGAAACCTAAATTGCTTCTAAGATAAACAGGCAGCTCTGGGGCCGACGCATCTATTTACTCGGCAGCAGCACGCGTTTCGCTTTAACCCCCTAGCCGCGGTGGGCCCTGGGGCTGAGATGCGCCCACTCCCCGCTGGCCTGGCATGCCCCTGCCCTCTGCTGACGGGCCTAAGGAGGAGGTTTCCCTGGGTTCCTCTCTGCACTCATGTTTGCACGTGCAGCCCTGCAGAGAGGACGGGAAGGAGATGAGGGTGCTGCATGGAGTGGGCTGAGCATTGGCTGCATCACACTGTCTCCAGGCCCTGTCTCCGCATTGCATGGGAATCTGGTTCTTGTACAATGCTCAACACCTTGGTGCCCAGAGAGTCGCAGGGGAAATGCAGCTGCCATACTGCTGAGCGCTCCCTTCTGCCATGGGCAATGCCTTTACAGTGCCAGGGTGAGCTTTCAAGTTGGTGAGGGGAACAAGTGTAATGCAGGCCATCTGCTGCAGCCTGACACGGGTGGGGAATCCCCATTCATGCTCTTCCAGAGCTCACAGAGTGCACATCCCTCAGGGCTCGTCCATCCTTTCCCTGCCACAGTCTCTGTGCTGCCTGTTCTCCCCTTCACACCCTGGGCTGCAGCCTCCTCTTGGGAACATCAGGCTGTGGCAGGGGGAGCTGCTGATGCATTGGTGGGTCTCGTGTGGTGGCTCTCCTGGCCACAAAGCGTTGTTTCTCTGTTCTGCAATGGGGAGGCAGCTCTCAGCTCTCTGTCCTCAGATGCGTGTGCACGGGTCCCATCCTGCCCCAGCCAGAGAGGCAGTTTGAGCTCTGGGCACTGACCTAAGTAGGACTGGTTGTCACTGGGGCTGCGGGTGGGGTAACCGTGTTGTAATGCGGCTTCTCTTCCCCACAGGTTGCCAGCTCGCCACAACAGCCCCTCTCAGTGGCAGTGCATAGAAGCAGGACCCAGCAAAGCAGAGTAAGTCCTAACTGTTGAAACATCAGCACAACATCAGGGGATTTCCCAGGCCCCGGTGGGTTTTGGAGTGGGTTCCTCCAAATGAGGTCTGGCCTAAGCCCCAGGGCATGAAAGGTACCTCCTGGCTCTCCACCAGCAGCCACCTTGGTGGCTGAAGGGAGACTGTCTTGGGCAGATGACCACAGGCTGCCTGGCCCTCAGTGTCACCATCCAGGGCTGCATCCTAGGGCTCAGAGCTTGAGAAGATCATGGTTTAAAAAAAAAAAAAAAAAAGCAGCCAATCCCTTGCTTCAGGCGTGCCCTTTGCACTCGATAATCTATGAATGCCGGCGGGTGCCCATGATATTGAGCCCCACGCCCCATTATTATTTAGACAAGTAACCTCAGCATCACTTGGAAGAAATGCTAAGCATGTAATCCCTCCATGGTGAAACCGGCAGTGCCCTCAGAGTCTTTTAAATTGAATTAGAGTGGGGTCAGGAGCAAGCTGTGAACAGGGGACGTTTGCCATTGCGAGCAGGGCGGGTGGATTGACACGGGATTATTGAAAGGTCACATCCTGCTTTCCAGTGCATGGAGCTGGGTTGCTGCCAGGTGCCCCTGGCACAGCGCCTGGCTACGTGTGGGGTGATACAGTGTCAGAGAGGGGCTGGGGCCAGGCTGCTGAGCTGCTGGAAAGGGCCGGCTGATGCGCGCATGAAAGCACTGCCCAGCTTTGCAAAAGGTTGCCCATCCCTGTGGAGTCTAGGCAGCTCTGCCTGACTCCTCCAGGTCCCCTGGGAAACGCTGTGTATTTTGCAGGTGTGCTCATCTCCAAGGCTGCTCCTAAGAGGGACTCGGGTCCTGGGGTGGAGTTCCCTGGTACTGTGTTGGCTCCACTCCAGCTGCAGCCGTGGGTGGCTAATGGATTAGAAGTGAAAATGGGCAGAAGGCTTAGTGCAGCAGCGTCTTACTGCCTTTTAGCCTGTGCCTGCGATCTCAAGGTGCTGTACTCTCTGGTTGCTGACCACCCTGAGCTGTGGGGTTGGGGTGAACCTGGAGGCTCTCGTGTTTGGCTCAGCAGTGAAATAGTGTCTGGTGTTTGGCTGATGTGTCGGGCTACAGAGCGGAGGGGGACAGGGCTATGGTCTCTGCAGGTCCCCATCGGGTCCAAGTTGGGAGGGAGTTTGTTTCAGTGATGGCTCAAGGCAGGGGACCTGCTGTCTGCACCAGAGCAGGCCCCTGTTTCACTGACTAGCCTGTTCTGATGCCGGTGGCTGATGAGAGCTGATGCTAAGGCAGGCAGTCTGCGGCGTCCTTCCTGATACTGGGGCTAGCTGGGAAAAGGGGCAACCAGCCCGTGGCCAAGCACAGGTTGCTAGCACCACTGTTCCTCGCCGCCAGGCTGAACTGAGCAGCCGGCGTGGTGCTCCGCGCTCCAGGAAACCATGTCGATGACTCACGAGGTGCGGTTCTTCCCACTGAGTCAGTACTGACCCCGATGCTTCAGGGCCAAGCTCGGAGCAGGACAAAGGGCTGCAGACACAGCTTTGAGATGAGCAGCAGACAGGGGTCACTCTGGGTTGCCAAAGGGGCCACCTTCCAGAGACACTGACCATGCTCCAGCGCTCTCCACTCCCCGGGCAGTCCCGAGCAGATGCACTCCCCTCCCTGCCTGTCCAAGCCTGTGGGTACACAATTTATAGCAGGTTGCAAAGCACTTTGGTATGCAAGGTGCAATATTCCTCCAAGATATTATTTTATTATTTTTATTATTATTATGAGCCCTTAACATTTTATTAAGCCCTACTGGGAATGGGGCCATCCTGACCTGCTGGAGTTGTTAGCACCTTGGGAAGATTAATAGCCCTAATTTCCTCACTTAGAGCCATTACTCTGTGTAGGGA